ACCAAGAAATGTTTCATTCATTTTTATACATATATTTCATTATGTATTCGTTTAGCGGAATGTCAGTGACGTGCTTTGCTAGGGGATCCAGTAGAGTACACCGCAGTCTAAAATGATCAACTTAAAGTCAAGTTGAAGTCAAACTATTTTGTTCAATAAATTGATCTTATATAAAATCTTACGAACGTTAAGTCAACAACGGTTCGCAAAAACAGAAGTTAAATCTTTACCTACACACAAGCTAACCTCTATTGTGGTCGAAGTACAAATATGTCGTCTCACGGGGGAAGAATCACGTTTTCACAAAATACCGGCGTAAAATAGCAGCTTAATGCTGCTGTGTTTCGTGTGGTAAGTGTTAAATTCGGAGACACTTATTGGTAACAAGGCTGTTAGATCTTAGGGTTGACAACGCATCTACATTTTATTCTAAATCGAGTATAAGTTTAGTTGTATATGGGTAAGAGTTTGCACTTATCGCACTTTTTTTTTTTTTTTTTTTTATAGAAGAGGGGGCAAACGAGCATGTGGCTCACCTGATGTTAAGTGACTACCGCCGCCCATGATCAACCGCAACACCAGGGGAATTGCAGGTGCGTTGCCGGCCCTTTAGAAATCGTATCGGTATCGGTCGTATCGGTCCGGAAAAATCACCGGTGGTAAATTATTCCACAGAGAGGTTGTACGCGGAAGAAAACTCCTTTTGAAACGTACAGTGGTGGACCGCCAAGCATCCAGATGGTGTGGATGGTATCGGGACGTTTGCCGTGTAGTGCGTTCACGAAATTTGGCGGCTGGGATTAATCCGAACAATTCCTCAGAGCACTCCCCGTGATAGATGCGATAAAATACGCAAAGAGATGCAACATCTCTTCGCAGCGCCAGTGAATCGAGCCGATCGGAAAGCACTCGGTCGTCGACGATTCGAGCCGCTCTGCGCTGGATGCGGTCAAGTGGAAGGAGCTGGTACTGGGGAGCCCCAGCCCAGAGATGGGAACAGTATTCCATGAGCGGCCGAACCTGCGCCTTGTAAAGTTGCAGGCGGTGTGCCGGCATGAAATACTGTCCCGCTCTGCTGAGCACGCCAAGCTTTTTTAGAGGCCAATTTGGCCTTCCCTTCCAAGTGACCACGAAACTGCACGTCACTCGATATGTCGACGCCGAGGATTCCGATACTGGCTGAGGCAACAAGGGGAGTGCCTTGAAACTGAGGGGATACGACAAAGGGGTTCTTTTTAGCGGTTAACGCGCAAACTTGTGTCTTCTGGGGGTTAAACTGGACTAGATTTAGTCGCCCCCAATCCGAGACTCTGTCCAGCAGAGACTCGACTTCAGACACAAGTTTGTCCCGGCACTCAGAGACGTTTTCCCGAGAAATATTTGCTCGGCCGGTGTAAAGAGCATCACCAGTGCTGTCATCTGCATAGCAATGAATGCTACGGGTTTGCAACATATCATTGATATGCAGAAGAAACAGCGTTGGCGATAGCACGCAGCCCTGTGGAACACCAGCATTAATAAGCTTGCAATCGGAGCTTGCACCGTCTACAACGACCTTGATGCTCCGATCTGCAAGAAAACTGGTGATCCAATCGCACAATTTCTCGGGAAGCCCATAGGAAGGGAGCTTCGAAAGAAGCGCTTTGTGCCAAACCCGATCGAAGGCCTTCGCAATGTCCAAACTAACGGCCAATGCCTCCCCCTTGGACTCTACTGCCTCCGCCCATCTGTGAGTTAGGTAGACCAGAAGATCACCAGCTGACCTACCACGGCGAAAACCGTATTGGCGGTCACTAATCAGCTGGTGATCCTCAAGGTACCTCATGAGCTGGCAGTTTACAATGGACTCCATTGTTTTGGAGAACAAGGAGGTGATGGCGATAGGCCGGTAGTTGGACGGGTCTGAGCGGTCGCCTTTTTTTAGGGATCGGGTGGACGAAAGCCGTCTTCCATGATTTTGGGACTACGCCTGGAGTAGGAGTTACCGGACTTACACATAAACTACAAAAATTATAAAGGACGCGTTTAATGTTGTAAAGTATTTTTCATCTAATACAAACGGCGTAGTTATAAAATGTAGAAATGTTATCTATGATATTATATATGATAATACAAATTATCATCTTAAAAAGAAATATCAAAGAGTGATTTTGTCCGTAGTATTATATCATAGGCTTCAAAACTTGTCTTCTAACGGTTTTTGTAAACTTTTGTGTAGTCTCCTGCAGTTCTTGGGACAAGGTGGTTTGAAAAAATGTCTAATGAAATGGCTGAAGATTTTATAAATAATTTTGTATTATTATTAACTCTTTTCTTTGATCGCGAGTCCGATGCGGCCCGCGCATTTACGAGGGCTGAAGCCAAAACTCGCAGGAATTTATACAAACTATACAGACAACACAAAGGAAAAAGGGCATAAAGAAAAATTACAAATAGTTTTAAATTTTCCGTTATCAGGCAAATGCCTTACTCTTTTTTCTCCATTTTCATTTTCCTCTTTGAGTATGAGGTCATCGCGTCTCTGGGTCCGCCATGGAAATCTAAATAATATTATTATTTAGATTTCTGTGGGGTCCGCCATGATTCCTTTAGGCTTCCAGGTTTTTTTTACCCGAAACTTCGGGCTTATAGTTGATGTGGCAGAAGCAGTTGCGTTTAAACTTTGCATCCTTATAAGCAACATCGATTATCTCAATGAGGGAATGTTGCTACGAATTTCGAACATGATCTATTATGCCTACGAGATTAATGCGTTGTTTAGACAGTAGGTAAATCCCAAGCCTTGAAATACGGTCCAAAATAGAGATCTTTCTACAGAGCGTGGTGTGTAGCGACGCGTTTGTCATACATTATTCAGAAATCTGTAATACAAGAGTGTGTGTATGTCATGCACTCTGAACGCCTGGACCGCTGTACACTTGTCACCGAATAGAATAGATTTTTATATCCCAGTCTCCTTATATATATTTTTTTGTATAAGGACTGGGATAGGGCACATCCCAGTCTCCTTCAATTTATTAATTGAAGTGGATTCTGCGGTGGCTGACCGCTAACTTCCCCTGAAGATGCCCCGTGTAGAGGCGAAACACGTGTCGTATTATCGACGGTAGTGTCTTTCCTATTGTAGTGGTGTTGGGGTTAGTGGTCTCGAACTTAGTGGTGACGGGGATAATGTACACAATTGGGGGAGGGCGGGAGGTGCTCTTCAAACTAGGTAAAATATATTAATTTTATTACGTTGATCATAGCTAATTAATTTTTAACATCTTAAATGTAATGGTTTTTGCAAAGCATCGCCTGACTAATAATTCTCAGACTCTAATAATCAGGTAAACTGTTAATTCGTTTGTCGCTTTTATTTAAAAAAAAATCTGAACGTTTAGATCTATATTATTATTTATTATACAAAATAATACATATGTTACCTCACTCGACATCCCTGCTCTGTGCATTAGCGCGTGTATGATGAATGGAGCTACCTCTGAAGAAAACAATATTAAGGCTCCGGTCGTTTCAACGTTTCGTCATTTCGCGAAACGGTTGGTTTTGGGCAAATTTTAGCAGTAATTTAAATTAACAGCCGCTGGTTGCTGACTCTTTGCGGAATGCAGACGGCGTGTGTGCATTGTTTTTGCTTCTTTGTAGCAGACCAAATTAGTGAATCCGTATTTCGGTGTGTTTTTTGAAAGGAACGGGGTAGTAAATTTTTCTCTGTAAATTTGCATGTACATACTACCGACCGACTCTTTATGAGTGCGGTATATCTACATAAAATCCATAATAGCTCTATATCACTTTACTTTTAGGTTTACAGAAATAATATCATTATTATCATCATCATCACGACACTTAACATGCACACAGCTAAACATGCATCTCACCCAATTAATGAAAAAATGAAATTAAAAAGAAAAGGAAATGAATGCCACAAATTAGTCTTTGGTCTGCGTATTTTACCAGGTCATCACTTTTATCTCACGAGGCTGCCACTTGAGAACCCGTTCAGAAGTTTAGTTTTGCTTTTTATTGGGTATTAGCACTAACTTTTGCCTAGGAGTCCGTCTCAGTAGGACAACTCTCTTATCTACTTTTTTCCGCAAGCAACTGATTTCAAAACCAGTACCCAGTACACTAAACACCTACAAGTTGTTAGGCATTCTAGTTTGGTCCTCAAAGGTGACAACGCCTCTGTAGCCTTTTTGACTTGGAGTTGAGTGCAGGTGACCATCAGTTACAGTGACCAGGTGTCAAAAAAAGGAAATTAACTACTACGTATTATTGACATTAAATTTTAACTTAGCTACAATAACAACGGTATTTATTTTTCGTCTATACAAATAAATAAAAGTGAAGTGTATGTTTGTAATGTCAAAATAACGACTGTTTACTAAATGTATATAAAAGTATATACGGGCCCATGTCCACTTATAATAAAAAATAATTTTTAAAATTTTTGTCTGTCTGTCTGCCTCTCTGTATGTCTGTCTGTTTGTTCTGGCTAATACGAAATGTCTGTACCGTTTTTGACGGGGCTTTCACTGGCAGGTAGCTGATGTTATAAGGAGTAACTTGGGTACTTTTATTTTAGAAAAATAATTAGGGTTCCATGCAAAAAAAAGAAATTAAAACCCACGAAATCTATAGTATATAATTCCACGCGGACGAACTCGCGGGGAACAACTAGTTAGATATGAAATGGCGTTCTCAATGTTTCTCTGTGTTTGCGAGACACTAAGGGCCTTTTCAGTGCGACGCGGATGACCTACGCGGACGTCCGCGACGGACGGTAAAATGTATGAAACCTTACAGCGCGTTCAGAGCGACACGGAGCTGTCCGCGTCGCGGAGAGCTATCCGCGCGCGGTCGAAATCGCTCCGCGGCGCGGAGGAGCGGCGCGGAGCGTCTTGGATGTCCGCGGGCGGACGGTGCTTGGTTTTAATGTATTTGTTCAGTTCTCGGCGGACAGTTGCGCAGAGCGGACGTAAAGTACTGTCGTTGTCATGACGGCTGCGTCAAATGTGCAAACCGAGAGGGTTATACAAGAAGTACGACTTCGACCATGTCTTTGGAATCTCCGCGACAATTCATATAAAAATAAAGACGCGAAATTAAAGGCATGGAAAGATGTTTGCGAAGCTGTTTGTCCGAATTTCGGAGATAGTTCAGGTGAAGAAAAAAAACAAATCGGTAAGTAATGTTTATTGAAACATCTGTGTTATCTAATAAATATAACTATTTTGCCAAGGTACAGATCCTTCATTTGAGACAAAGTAATTTGCAAAATTATCTCTTATTGTATTGCCCGATCGTGTACTGTCATTAATGCGAGCATTGCAATCTGTAAATCCAGCTACAATCATAGCGTTTTCTTCCGTATAACCATCGCGTACTCTAATGAAATTGTGTAAAATGCAGCACGCTTTGATTAAAATTTGTGCAAATGATGTTGATACATTGATAGATCTTTGGAATATTGCAAATTTGTTTGTCAATATACCAAAACTCGATTCTATGTATCGGCGTGCACGACTTAACCTGTAATTAAATATTTTTTTTTGTGTGTCAAATTTGTACGCGCGTATGGGCGAAGTATAGTATTGGAAATTCCAAAAGCTGCGTCTCCTACAATGACATGTGGCTGTGGGTTGATAGATGTGCCTGGTAATAATTTTGGAGGTGGCAAATATAGATCATCTCGTTCAAGTCTATGAAATAACGAACTTTTCTTGAACACATTAGCGTCTGCTTCGCTGCCACAAGCCCCTACATTTACATAGGTAAAACAGTAATTGGCATCACACATTGCAAGTAAAATAATAGAATAAAATTGCTTATGGTTGAAAAATACGGATCCACTTTCTTTTGGGCACGTGATTCTGGTATGCTTTCCGTCAAGGGCGCCTACGCAATTGGGAAAATTGGCATCCCTTTCAAAGCCAAGTGCTATGTTATTCCAAAAATTTGGATCAGGTTCAGGCAGACATTCGTTTTTCAAAATTTCCCATATTAATGAGCATACTTCTTCAATAATGTATTTAATTGTAGATAGCCCCAATCGATAACTTAAATGCAAATCAGACATTCTTGACCCAGTAGTCAGGTACCTGCCACAAAAAAAGTGTGTAATAAATAAGTAAAGTTACTAGCATATGTTGTTTTATTATTTATATTATTTAATTTACAGAAAAAGCTGTTCAGTTAAGATGGAAGACCGCCCGTGATGCATACATGAAGTGTAGAGCAAATCTTAAGACATCGAAGTCCGGTTCTGCAGGGGGGTGTCAAAAAGAAGTATATTTTTTTCGATATAATGACGTTTTTGGAAGACACAAAGGACTTTGAACCCACACATGAAAGTATGGCTTTAACATCGTCGCAGACCTCCCAAAATGTTGCTTCAACGTCATCGCAAAACTCGCAAAGTATTTTACCTATTACCACGACCCCGGACTTGCCATCAACAGAAGAAACATTTCAGACACCTGTGCAGGCTTCTCCAAAACCGTGGCAGAGAAAAAAAAGAGATGTATGACAGACTTTGAGTCACAATTATTGAAAATATTAGAAAAGAATGACACTTCCACCACAAACTTTGCGTCGTCTACGGCTCTTAAAGACGATGACTGCAGTTTTTTTAATTCTCTAGCACCCATTATAAACGATTTCGATAATTATAAAAAATTGTTATTCCGAACTAGAATACTGGAGCTAGCTATGGAAATTAGAGGTCCAGCTATGAACTCGCCCAGCACATCTGCATCAACCGCTACCAACGATTTACCTCACTTATCAGGGAGTGATGTGGACGAGTCTTTAGAAAGCTGGCAACACGGTGATTACACTGCATTGTAATTAATTACATAATTACATTTTAAATTGATTATATAATTTTTTTTAATTAAAAAAATTGTTTCATTTATTTAACTTTTAAATTTAAGTACCTAGTTACCTAATTGTTACAGCCAATCTCTCCCGCGAACATATAGGTTTCTTGTATATATCGCAACGCATTAAAGGTGGCTCTAGTTTCGCATGCAACTCCTCAAATGTCCTAATGGACATCTTGAAATATTTGAAGAATTTCATTTCGTCATCCCGCAAGTCCGAAAACAAGGATACAAATTCTCCTTTAAGAAGTCTTTTCTCAACCAGTGGATGCACATTAAGTCTTCTACTATGGCGTCTTCTTCTTCTGTTGTTTAATAAATAGGCCGCAATCACAAAATTCAAAGTTTTATCCATGACACTGTACCACTCTCGATCACGATCCGCATCGCACTGAACGACGAATTTATCCGCGACGGACGCAAAACCTCATCCGCGTGCGGACGGTCCGCGTCGCACTGAATAGGGCCTCACTGCCATTCATATTATATAACTCGCAGTTGACATCGGGTTGTAGTGTGCTTTAATGTATTCTTTTTTCTAATTTATAGTATCATAAAGGTTCTATGTGCATGGTGCAATAATCAAATGTAAAAGATTCTTTATTTAAGAAATATTTAATAACGTTAACTATTTCTTTATTCAAAATTTGCACCCGTCATTTCTATTCTCATAACTCATAAGCATTGAGCATTCACTGCCAGACAATCATGGGAGATAATTTTCCTCGGGTAACAAATGTGCCCATTTTAAATTTTAGTTTTACTTTGCTATAATATTCATGTAAACGTAATTTGATTTTACGTTGATTTTATTGGTGTAAACTTAAGGTAAAGAAAAATGAACATGTTCGTTTAATAGTTAAGAGACAGACAGATATTTTATAACAACCTAAATAAAACGAATTAGAACTGAATCTCTTAAAACTTTTTCTTGTCGTTTCTAAAGGAATTGTTCATTTTATTTATAATACAAGTGACAAAAACTTTGTAGAAAAGGACGCGGTGTAACAGCACGTAGGAGAAAAGTAGGTAATCGATTTCAGATAAATGATACATTTTCTGAGTACCTGATTTTTTAGAAAGTGATAAAATTAGTAATGAGTATTACTTGGTACAGCTATTCTCTGACGTCGTTTAAAAATAAATAATTATCGCCATGTTTGCGGCCAGTTTTATGCTTTCCTGCGGTAGAAAGTTTGAAGAAATTTTGCCAATTACTATAGACAAAGAAGTATTTTCTAATATTGTGTTCCTCCTTCTTTCAACTATGCGACGGCAGACATACAGGCAGTCTAATTACATTAGCAGTATTACGATAATTTTTACTTTACGTATCTATTTCATAGAGCGCGTACACAAAGGATCCCTTGCTACCCATTCTCTGAAAGGAAAGGCGGCGCAAATATCCGTTTTAATTAGACAAAGAGCTGTAATTTAGGTTTAAATTTTTAATGTGAAATTAACGAAATTTACGCTTTGCGAGATGTTGTCGAGCTCACTATTCATTTAGCACTTAAATTATCATAATCCGACTTAAATATTAAAATATTTTAATAAAAGCTGTTTCATCAAAAAGTTAGAACAAAACATTTATTCCTGTGTACATCCTTTAAATTATTTGTATGGTATAACGGCTTAACAGCTGTGCCTTTCAATGATAAAAACACGTGCCGACTGTTTTTGTATTAGTACTGGTACTGTCACCTCTGCTATCAATTGCTTTTTTTATATCTATATTTATCAATCGATATTGATATATATTCTGTATTGATCACATACTAACCGTTCAATCGCCATAAAAATACCATGCAGTTGCTTGCGTCCGGCATATACAGAGCGGTCGCATGCGACCGCATCCACCCACAGTTTTCTATGAAAAAGTTTGGCATTATAAAATCTATACAAAATTTTCTATCTTGTGGTTTAAATAAAAGTCTGGTTTTTACTTCATTACAAAAAGATTTTATTGTATTTTGATAACAAAAAAATACATACCAAGCGGATGTCAGCAGCGTGAAAATCACAATAAATATATATATATATATATATATATATATATATATATATATATATATATATATATATATTACTCAATTTTATTTACTTAAAAAAGATAAATTATATTCACACAAAAACTTTCATTACAATTTTATAGTAACACTATACTAAAACACTAATAAAACACTAGAAAAAACCAAAAATCAACACTAACAATCACAATATGTAAATAAATATCCAAAAACGAACTGACTTTTTATTACACTAGAGGATAGAGTATTTCATATTGATTCTATAATGCCAAACTTCATCATAGAAAAGTAGTCTCTGAACATAAGTATTGATGGGTTAAAGTGCTGTGGGTGGGTGCGGTCACATTTGACCTCTTGAATTTTAACGGATTATCGAACCGGTCAAATTTGGACGCTTGCCGTTTGAGAGGGTAATTAAAGACCAGCATGTCATTATAACCTTGAGGAATTCTGCAAATTAACGGCCTTACTTCTAATTGTTTAATGTAATCTCCTATATATACCTGTGTCTTTCTATTGTCAATTCGTGACGATAGAGCGCAATTTTAAGCATTTCTTAAATTGATGACGATTTTTTTATGAATAACGTGTCTAAAGAGTTCCTATGGCTTCTTGAATTGAATACATTTTGATCTTTATAGATTGTTTAAAAAGTTTTCATGTTCAGACTTCATGGTATAATACAGCGTTGGTCAATACGCATGCCAAGAAAATTAAAGAAATACCAATATCTTGCAACGGGAGAGACCTATGTCCTGAAGTGAACTTTTGGGAACTTATGACGAAAAATATAACGGCCATGTTGCTGGTGAACTTAAATAAGCCCAATAGCATCATCATTATTGCCCTGCAACCATAGCACTCATAATTGTGACCAATGTAGAAAACCTAACTAAACGTCGCTTTACTGAATGCTTATCATTTAAGTATATATTTAATTTACTTTTATTTTAGCTAAGACTATTAAACAGCGGCGTCTAAAGTGATATATCGTATAATTTGTAATTTATGTAAATACAACCGGTTGTACATTCGGTTAGTGCCGAAACACCGAAACTACGTTTATTTGTGCAGGATTTTAAGACAAAAAGAAATTTACAGACTTATATGTCAATGTAGTGTATGTTTCTTAAATCCTATGACTAAGTAAAAGGCAAACATATCTACTCCTATGAGGTAATGAATTTGGTTGCCAAAGTGAAAACGACCGAAAGGACAATCTGAGAATGGATCGACGGAGTAGAGATCTCGACGAGGGGTAGTTGAGAGCAAACAAGCAAGAAGGAAGATAGGAAAGGGAATATGAAAAAATACTGTTTAGATCACCAAGACCCATAGTATAGCAGGAGTGATAGTCCTAACGGTAAATTTACCGTAGTCATAACTATAAATGATAGATAATGTTATCGTATTTTTGTAGATAACGTTTTGCAAAAGTTCTGATTTAAATAACGTCGTTTCAAAGTAAATTATCGAAGAAACCCCCTAAAACTTTACCGCCAATAAAGGGACCCACTACGCAACAAATATGGCAACATAGCTTAATTTCACGACACCCTAACATCCGCCACAATTTAATCTTCACTTATCCCCTCAACAGTGAAGCAGTACAGATTTATCGTCACCATCTCGGTGCCTAATAAGGTATAGGATTACATTTTATTACGGCGGATTGTTGGTTCATTAATTCGGTGTTGCCATGGCGAGAGCTCTGAAAACCCTATTTTGTGGTAGATTAAATTTTCTCCCTTTCTCGTTCTTAATATGTTTTATTATATTATTCGTGCCAAAAATTATGAAATTATTATAATTTTTCTAGAAAGTTACTGTTGAAAAAAAGGGAAATGGAATTTTTCATAATATGTTGATTAATCTTGAGAGCATCGTAATTTATTTCTTATATTATATTTTGAGATATCGATAATGCAGTAATTCAGTGCAGTAAGATTTAGTAAACGCAGCGATTACATTATGTTACAACAATTTTCTTTACAAGTTTACGTGCTAGATTCACGCTGCAACCATATTATAGCTGTAGCACGAATGGGTCGACTCGACAGGGTAGGACCACGCTCTCACAGAATACCAACGTAAAATAGCAGCTCAATGCTGCTGTGTTTCTTATGGCAGAGAGAACCGGAAACCCTTTTTACAGGAAATGAGCCATTCCATGTTATTCCGCAAGGGAGACACCACATCTGCATTTCTTAATATAATGTAATGTCTATGGGCCACACCATCCACTTACCATCACGTGAACTGTGTGCTCGTTTGTTATCCTATTTTATAAAAAAAAAATTAACTCGCCGAATGTGGTTAATACCAGGCTGCTATATTTAAGGAAATTCTTTTTTTTTTTTTGAATTGATCCTTCGTGCAAAGTAGTAACTGAACATAAGAACAGTATCAATGACAATTTGAGTTACGGCGCCAGTTTTTCTTATTTGTTTTAAGTAAGCTTAAGTTAAGTAAGTAAGCGTAAGTTATCCAAAGTGTAAATTGTAATAGAAACTTTAGTTGTCTGTTTGTCTGTACTGCGTTCGTTTTATTAGGTATGTTTTAATAAAACCAAGCGGTACTTGAATAAAGAAATTATGCTTTAGTCATCATTGCATCTACCAAATAGTGCCTGATTCCTATTCATTTCGTTCTCGGTAACGATCCGTTGTTCGATTAGTTTTTGATCCAGGTTTTTTTTTTTTAATAAATATTCTTCATACGCTTATCTGCCTAGTAATACGGGTCGTACAAATGAAAAGTTTTTATATATAGAACCAATACATTTGCGTTTTCGTTAATATCAACATGTGTTTGAGATGCGTACTCGACATGTATTATTTGTGTTTGCCATTTGCCTGTGCTTTCACTACAATCTCACCTGATTTATGAAACTAATAAATGTCACTGTTCGAAATTGGCTGGGAAAAGATCATGT